CCACATTTATTTTATAAAAAAACGCCGCTATAGCGTCAAAACGCTATAAAAGCGCGTTATTAAGCAGCATGATGACGCTATATATCACAACTTTAAATAGCGTTCCATGCGACAAAATAACGACAACAGCAGAAAGTGGCGTTATGATCCGCTACGATTTTACGTCGAATAACCCTCCTGTTGTAACAGACATTACAGTGCAGTTTTCACTAATATGATTGATCAGAAGATGCATTGATTTATAGTTTGAATATGGTTCTGTCGTTTATTGTATAATATATATAGTTTGATATTATACATGACTTCGAAATAAATCGAATACTTGATTTGATCCTAAGCAGATAAAATAGTAACGCTTGCGTCAACTTGTTGTTTTTGTTGTGCAGATTTTTCTTATTCGAGCTTACAAAAAGAGAGTCATAATCGATTATTACACCAATATCAATAAAATTTCTGTATTGTTCAAAAACATTTGGAATAATCATGTGCTACTTTATGTATCTATAATTACAGTTGATATTGTCATTGACACAGAAACTCTAAATAGTGAAAGCATTTCACGTGTGCATTTGAAAATACTTTCATTTGATTAGAAGGATGTTCAAATTAAGTATCAATAAAAAACAAACAATGTTCATCCAATCAAACATGATGATCCGTATCAATTTTTCTACGAATTTTCTGATCTCACTGTTTATCGCATAAAACTAATAATCTGTTTTATATTTTTAGTGGGAAGGTAATTTTAATTGTGTCACTTTCAATTATTCCGCTATCATAATTTTTATTTATTTCGGAAACGTTTCATTGATAGCCACCTCTAAATAATCACTCCTCTTCTTTACTTTTTGAAAATGAAATGACAAGAACGTGACACGTGGATATTTATCTATATATGGATTTCTTTTTTATCTTATTTCTTATAAAAATGACGCGGATGAGATGAACTTTCACTCATCTCGTCCGGCATTATCTTCTTGTTTTTTTTTTCTCTGTACTAGTGTTATAAGAAAAAAAATTGTACATGTTAACGATTGTACACTTATCATTTTGTTGTCTTTTTTTTCATTGTAGAACATCGAAGAAGAAAACTAGTGCACATGAAACGTGTATAAATAAAATGTTTCATAAATAAATGTAAGTTATTTTGGGATTGAATCTTTCAATTTGCATTCGTATAACTGTGGAGATATAGAAATATACAATAAATCATCCTGGGTATGAGAAGGAAAAATAAATAGAGGAAATGACTTCTCAGTCAATGATTTACATGAAGGAAAAGAACATGCGACAAGTCAATTTTAATGATCATATATTCTTATGGAAATGTAATGAATGATCCTTTTTTATAAGTGTCCTTCATATGTAAAAAAAACCTCATCCATCAATAAGTTAAATAAACGATAAAAAGTTTCTGAAACTTTTCGACGCTGCAGACTTTCTTCATTTATTATCGCTCGTATTCAATGTATTACACTAATACAAAATTCATATTTTATTCTGTTTCATTTACTTCCATTTTAGATGTAATTTACTTTACACAAGTCAGACGTTATAGATGCTAGTCGTGATGACGTCTACCTGATGTGGTAAGTGGACAATTCATCCTTCTACTCTATATGATCATTTTAGATGTTCGCATTATCTGACATTAATTCAAATATAAATTAACTAAATATTGTTTCAACGGAATACATGATAATCTTTCAGTTTTTAGCTTGATTTTACAGTAATAATTCCATATTTTTCAGAAAATACGCGACGCCGACTTGAATTAGCTAATGATTTATCGGAATATCTATGTACTGGATATTTTCATCGACTATATTTTGGTTAAACAAACAGTTACAATTCTTAAAATAAGATCTTCAAAACCTAAGGAGTAATATTTTGATAGTATTTTTTTTATATCATATTTTTCGTGCACAATGCATATTTTTTTTAAACATTTTTTTTCTTATTACTCCTGTTTCTCTTTCAATAACATGTATCATTTATTTTATGCAATTTATTTTATGAAATAAAATTTTGACAGTATCATGTCTATATTGAACATATTTGTAATTATACCTAGGATTTAACTAGTACGATTTACTAATATTATTGGTGTATTTAGGTACCAAAATATGAGAAAATGTCGCAATATAGAGCGTAATATAAGTCTATATTGCCGTAATATCGCACCATAACGGTCATAACGAACTAGCAAAAGGGGTCAGAATACGAGCGCTATAACGGCGGTGTAGCGGCGCTTTTTTAGCGTTATCGACGACATGGGTTTTAACATTATATATTTGACTGATTCCAGTGAATTATCGCAACCATTTCTAAGATATAATTATCAATAAAAGAATATCTAATTACGAGGGATGTCATAATATCCACAACTTGGGTATCGAGATGAATACCCAGATAGGATACCCATTTGTATCGATATCTATGTATCCTCTCAGAGCTGAGAAATGTGAGTGGATTTGGTGTAACGAGATTGGGTATTCATTTGTAT